AGATAACAGGATATAAGACTGAGCTGTTTCTAAGTAATGCTATTAGTGTGTAAATATTTCTGATGATTTCTGTTTCTGATAGTGTTAACATCAGCAGAGACAGAGAGTCATTCAGAGGAGGCTGAATTATTGCTGCAATCAACAACTGAGTCTATAAAACATCAGTAAACAGTAAAAAAATTTGTGGTACAGTTTATCAGAGATGAAGGTGACATCCTTAAATGCTTTGCACTGTCAGACCAAAAGTTCAAATCCCAAATATGTCCAGCTGATGTGAATGTCTGGAGGAAGCTCAGAGGTGTGGATCCTTTTGGATTTCTTCTCATTTCTGAATCCAAACATTGTCCCCAAAACGTTTTGCAGAAAATGATCATCAGAATGTGCATTAATATTTTAGTCTTTCAGTGTGTCCTTTCTTGTATTGTGAGATGGTTTGGCGCAGCATCTGCAGTGATGCTGACAATGTGCCGGATTGTTGTGTAGTGAGAACTGACCCGGAAGGCAAAACTTTTGATTTACTGGTCTAACTACGTCCCAACCCTTGCCAATGGTCATGAGCTTTGGGTAATGATGGAAAGCGTGAGTTTGCAGATTCTAGCTGCCAAAATGAGTTTCCTCACCAGGGTGGTTGGGCTCAGCCTTAGAGATCTCGGACATCTGGAGGGAGCTCGGAGTAGAGCCGCTGCTCCTTTGCGTCAAATGGGGTCAGCTGAGGTGGTATGGGCATCTGATCAGGATGCTTCCTGGGTGCCTCCCATTGGAGTAGTTCCTGGCATGTCCCACTGGTAGGAGGCCCTGGGGCAGACCCAGAACACGCTGGAGGGATTACATATCTCATCTGGCCTGGGAACGCCTCAGGGTCCCCCAGGAGGAGCTGGAAAGTGTTGCTGGGGAGAGGGGGGTATGGTTATTTTGCTTGGCCTGTTGCCCCCATGACCCGACTTCGGTTGAGCGGATGGATGGATGGATGGATGGATGGATGGATGGATGGATGGATGGATGGATGGATGGATGGATGGAGTGTGTCGTCTCCCTGTTAACTGCAGTCTGTACATTTTTATGATCCATAGTGTTTAGCCTAATTATACTGTATATATTTTGGATTTGCACCTTTTTTTTTTGCTTTCTTAAACTTTTATATTTGCATTCTTTATATTTACACTCCTCCCACTTCGTATTGCAACTGCAGCTCCAACCAACACTGCCTGAAGTGACTCTGGCCAGAGCAGTATTGTGATCTATTTTGGTGTAAAACAGTTAAACAGATCATTAATTCATTCATACTTTTATCGATGTTTATTGCATTTCAAGGACTCGTTCTGCTTTCAGCTGTGAGTTGTGATGCTTTTTATGTTTAAAATCTCGTTCCTGGTTGGGAAGTCACATTCTCTGTGTATGTGCTGCACTCTGCTGGCGTGTAGTGCACATGACAGAAGTACAGTATTACTGATTTTATAATTTAATCAATCACATGAAACAACATATTTAAAAAAGAACAGAATAAATATTAAAAACAGACCATATATGTATGCATATAGAAAAGAGCTGTATTTGATGATACATTTTATTGCAATTATTTTACTTGTTGTATAGCACATTATAAGCACCTATAGAAATATTTGTGAAACCATACTGAACACTATTAATATGCTTCAATAAACTCACAGATACTTAACTTTAAAGCAAGACAAGATTGACATCACACTTTATATCATTCTATAAATATACTACTAATATAGTTTGCCACTTACAACTCAACTTCCTGTGGTCTTCAGTTTTTATCAGGCTACAACAGCTTCATACTATGACCAGGCCGCTCTTTTTTTAAACATGACTCAGTCATCATGTAGCCTCGCCCCCAGGCTCTTATAACCAGTCACCTCCAGTCACAAGCAGCCACACACACTACAGCCGTCCACAGGGAGCACAGAGCACAGAGCTGCAGCTACACAAGTGTTTGCGGAGATATACAGTGACAAGAGCACAATGATGAGGATCAGCCTGCAAACTCTGACAACATGTGAGTACATTCTGACATCAGTGCATGTTTTTTGATGTGGTAACTACCCTGAAAATCTGATGTATGTGTTCAGTGTCTTGTGCAAGTCGTGATATGAGGATGATCATATTTTACTATGTTAAAAGTTGACAAGCCACCTCTACTACCATGTGAACTCTGTTTAATATTCAGGCTCCAGTGTAAAAATGTTTGATCTGATATGGCTCTAAACCCATGGAACAAAAAATATGTCCACATTTTATTTAAGTGGATGTTTGGTTGAGATAATTTCCTGTCTACACTACGTCAGACTTATTTCAAGACATTTTCACAATTCAAGTCGCAGCATCTCTTGAGAACAGCCTGTTTCACTGGTTGTAAGATGCCATAACAAGTTATTTTTTAAGTGGAAAAAAGGCTCTCACTAATGGGAGTTCCCATATAATCTAACACGTGAGAAAGTACATTAGATATTTCCACTCTTCATAACTAAACAACTTTGTGATGATTAAACAATTCTGTGTAGGAGGCACTTAAGCTCACATGAAGGAAATATTTTTTTATCCTCAACTCTGTGAGGAAACACTGCTGTTTTGAAATCTTTGGGTAGTAATGCAGGTCTTACATCACAAGATAATGTGTTATCAGTTAGAGTATTCCTGACTTTCTGTCATGGGATGACACTGACAAAACGTCACTTATTTCCAGTAGAGTTGTGATGTGACTCTCTCTTATCTTTCTATATAAAAACAAAGACTACATTTAAAACACCAATGACTAACCAGAGTACTTAGCAGGCGGGAAATCTTAAGTGCATCATACCTGGTCTCTGCCCCGACTTCCTGTTTGTTAAAACACAGATGACAAAACTCTAGTCTCCTTCTAAAGAACTACACAGCCCTGTTCCAAAGAACAGTTCTGTCATGATTGTGCTGTGAGCCTCTAAAGTTGTTGAGTTGAATGTTGGATGTTGAATGTTGTTGTCAAAATCCCAGCGGCTAAAATACCTAAACACAATGCACTGTTAAAGGACAAGGCTGGCATTGTGCTATATTTTTTATTATGGTCAGCAACTCCCCCATAAAAGATCAAAGAAATCTTTATAAAAACTCACAAATATATAATTTTATTTTCTTAAAGGTTCAGTAATTTTCTAAACAGCTGGTCACTGTAGTTTTTAACAAACAGAACTCAAAAGGAAGAAATTCTACATTTGCTGGGGATTATTTTCAGCAGTGGATTAATACACATTTAGTGGTCTGGTGGGTGTTTACGGCAGCAGAATCAACTCACTGGTGTTTTTGTCTTTTCCTGGGATTTGTTGACAATAAGAAAAAGATAGAAACATTACATTTTTTTTTACTGTATGCCATGTATACATGATTATACTAGGAATATTCATTCATTTTCCATAAAAGCATATCCTGTTGGGGGTCTCAGAGGGGTTGGAGCCTATCCCAGCTGACACTGGGCGAGAGGCTCTAAATTGGCCATAGTCGTAAATATACGTGAAGGGTTGTCTGCATGTGTCAGCGCTGTGATCATTACCAATTAACTTGCATGTCTTTGGATTGTGGGAGGAAGCCGGAGTACCTGGAGAAAACCCTCGCTGACATGGGAGGAACATGCAAACTCCACACAAAAAAAACCCACCCTGGGTTAGAATCAGGAACCCTCTTGCTCTGAGGCGACAATACTAACCACTGCACCACCATGCTGCCCACTGTTGGGACTGTTTTCAGCAGTGCATTAATACATATTTGGTAGTCTAATGAGTGTTTACATTGACATAATCATTTTTGTCTTTTCATGGGATTTGTTGACAATAAGAAAAATCTAAAGAAAATTAAATATGGATGGATGGATGGATGGATGGATGGATGGATGGATGGATGGATACAGCATTGTTTGTGTACCATAAGATTCTAAAGCTAAACCTTCTGCTTTTTTCCCAAACCTAACCACTTGCTTTTGTTGCCTAAACCTAACCATGTGTGTTTGTTGTTGAAGGAAACCAATGTAGTGTGTTTATTTTGAAAGAGACTGTATGTAAACGGTAAATTTCCTGTGAAAACAGAAGTGTATCTTGAAAGAAAACAATGCATGTAACAGGCAGAACTTGTCAGAGTGTCCCAGAATGTCAACAGTCACGTCATATGTGGACGTGGAAAGTCCATGCACTTCAATATGTGATGAGGTCGGAGTGAGAATGTGTCGAGTTGGGGGACTCATATTGACGGCATCATCAGGATTAGAACTGAATGTGTAAAATACATTGATTTAGATAGTAATCATTCCACTGTGGTGTCCTCACAGACTGTGGGGCCATAACAACAACAACAATAGCTGGTGTTTCTTATACATGTTGAAATATGTTGCTGCAGAGATGTCATTCATACATTCTTTTTCCTTAAATTGCAGGTCTACTGTTGTGCGGTGCAGTAACAGCACACTCAGCAAATTCAACCGTCCCAACATTTTCTCCATCACCCTCCCCAACAAATAACCTCCTTCCCACCACTCCACCGAGCCTTGGGACCACACTGACCACCATCATTTCCTCACCCACAACTGTGAATTCATCAACTACACAACCTGCCGCAGCAACTGAAAATTCAACCAATACAACTTCTTCCATCAGCGGTACAGCTTCCACTCCACCGAATGTCACCGCTGAGATAAACACTCCAAACTCGACAACGCCACGAACAGTACAAACCTTGTCCACGTCCTCTTCATCTTCTTCCTCATCCCCATCACCTCCATCTACCACAAATAGCACCCAGGAGACTAGCACCAATAGCACCGGCCCTGGCACCGGCACCACCGGCCCTGGCACTGGCACCACCGGCCCTGGCACCGGCACCACCAGCCCTGGCACTGGCACCACCGGCCCTGGCACCGGCACCACCAGCCCTGGCACTGGCACCACCGGCCCTGGCACTGGCACCACCGGCCCTGGCACCACCGGCACCAGCACCACCGGCCCTGGCACCACCGGCCGCACTACACAACTCACCGGCACCACCGGCACCAGCACCACCGGCCCTGGCACCACCGGCCGCACTACACAACTCACCAGCACCACCGCCAAACCCCAACCCCCCATCACAACTAGTAGTATCACCACCACCACCATCACCAAAACCACCACACTGGTAGACGAAGGACACGAGTCCAAGGCTCTGAGCTCAGGTACGCAGCAACGAAAAGTTCTTTGTTTTTATATTTGCTCTAACTGTGTAAAAACATTGTAAAATATGTTGTGCAACAGGTTTATACACAACAAATTATATTCTCATTCAATATTTATTTCAAACTCTGTAATAGCCCTCTTTTAAGTTACATTTTTATACTAAAACAAATCTATAGAAAGAAGACAGCCATGCTAGCAGCTGTGTGGAGCTACACTGGCAGTGTGGTAGTTTGAGCTAAATGCTCACATCAAAATTAACTTCTGGGGACCATGAGGGTCTGTACTAGATTTCGAGATAATTCATCCAATATTTAAGATATTTCAGTAACAGCAAAAAATGTCACTCACCGGGCGGCACGAGAGGAAAAGTCAAAGGATCATCAACATTGTCAGGATTCACTCTGTGGGGATCATGAACGTCTACATCAAATTTTGTGCCAAGCCATTAAGCACATATAGGCTACACCCTAAGTTGTGTTTCCATAAACATATTTTTATGCACATTTTGAAGTATCAGATTAGAAAAGCTGTATGGAAACAGCAAAATTTAATACAACTTCCTCAACTGCTCCAAAATTCTTTCAACAGCTGCTAAAGGTGGGTTTTGCCTTTATTGAAAAGGAGTTGATGGAGTATGAAAACACCTCTGCTGAATAAGTTTTGATGGAGCGAAAATTGAAGTCACATGCCTATTGACGCGTTTCTGCTGTTGATGTCTTCCCGTATTAGAATCAGTGCATTTGTTTGTCTCCATCTCCGAACAACATAAAACATGGTCAGTACTAGCTTTCATTCAAAGAACTTTTAAAACTTGCAAAATTGAAACAAATTTCTGAAGACCTCTCAGTATTTCTCCCATAGATGGGTTAGGTGGCCAAGGCGATTTGTTCTGTTTCTGGTTCGCAACTTCAGACAAAACTACACTTTGCAAAGCAGTTTATTTGCTCCAGACCAGTTGATGGAGATGTTTTGTATTTGCATTTCTTTTTTACAACTTGTCAAAGGTTCACTTGTAACTGACTTGACAATTTAATGGATACACAGCTACAAAGATATATTTCAGAGTAAGTGAAAACTTTGACCTGCTGTTGCCTCTAGAATTCATCCTCTAGGGACCGTGAATATATGTAGCAAATTTCATGGCAATTCATCCAAAAGTTGTAAAGATACTTTGCTCATAACTATAAATATTAATCTCATTGTAGTGCTAGAGGAAAAGTCAGGGGTCAGAATAATCAGTTCAGAAATTCAAATTGGTAAATTATAGGAAATAATACATCAAATTACTGGTGAATAACTGTAATTTGAAGGAAGTGCAGTAAAAAACAGCTCATAAAATTGGCAAAATGCAGAAAAAAACAAAGCAGAATAGGGTGTCACCTATGTGAAAAGATTTTTGTGAAATGATTGACTCCAGAAAAGAAAACAAAAACCTTCTACACATCATTGTTCAGGATCAAATATGTTTTTATTTCTTTACTGGTCACATGCTGGCATTATACTTGGACCAAAAAGAAGCGTTAAACTATGAACTTTCCAACAAATCACTCATCACTCATCCCATACTAAATTGGGCAGGCTTGTTATGGGGTCGTATCATGAACTTTGGTTGTTATGGTTCCTTTCAGACCTTAAAAAGAATGCATTAAAAACACAAGGGGCTGTATTTGTGTAGCTACAGGTACTGGTGAGAAAATAAAACCCCATTGGAATAAATGTTGGCACTGTACAGGTCTACAAACAGCAAATTACATTTGTATGGTTTTATGTAGTGGGAGAAGTCAAAACATGTCTCATGTTCTGAGACTGCGTTTTGGGTTAAAATACCCAGTTTTAGTGGGGCTAAAAAAAGAGAGACCTGTTTTTGTGGCACTATCCCAGCAGCAAACGCAGAGATGGCTCTGTAAAAAACAACCATTTCACGCGTCAATATCTGCAGTGGAAAAACACCCACGTTTAGTGACTAAAAAGCTGCTGATAGTGTAGTGATGAAAAACCTGTGTTGCTGTTTGTTGATTTGACACAGCGGTCTGCTGCTTGGCAGGTGTTTCGCCCAGCTGTTACGCCATCCACCATCCCCTTCACCTTTCTTCTGCTGACTGGGCTGGAAAATTAATTAGATCAAGGATTTCCACTTTGTGTCATTTTTGTCTGAATGCAGGCTCGCTGTTTATCACTGGACTCAACTTTACAAACCAACACCAGCTGTGCATCATTGACAGCCTTTGTTGGGCCAGTTACTTAACATCTTTATGATGGCATAGTCAACATATGTTGCCAGTAAACTGCGTGTTATCTCCCAAAACCACCTGTTTCTGGTGTTAGAATGTGTCTCTGAATGTGTCAAACTCTTACATTTGTCTAACACACAACTACACTTCACAAAAACCACAGGTGATCACACTTCTCTGATTACAGACGCACGCAGAGTCCATGCATCAGATTATCCGTTCCTCCTCCTTGACCTCCTTCAGTACTGTGTCAATTTGTGGTTAATATGTGAACACAACATTTTCCTCTTACACTTCCTTATTTACTTTGCAGTTGAGGCTTTATAGTTGAATGAGTGAAAACGAACTGCAGCCCTTTGAAGAGAAAAGGCTGTCTGCCAATTCTTTCCCTACGTGTTTTATCATTCACACAACTGTTCAACCACTGACCTGATTTTTCATGACCTGCAGTCATTGCCACCATTTCGTTCATTGTGGCAGCATAAGTCACTCATTATAGATCTGTTAGTAAATGCTACGACTTATACAGGCAACCCTGGCATGGAAAATTTAAAAGCTTGACATACACAAATTCTGTGAGTTTTCTTTGTTTTTCAAGCTATATATTCAGCTATGTTCTATATTCTGGTCTGTTTTTTCATATTCCCTTCATCTTTGCAAAGACAGCTTATATACCCCTTACAGATCTATTGATTCTTACTACCTCTTACTGTATGTATTAACCCTGTGTACGTGCTCTTTAGCCAAGCACTGACGCCCCAGCAACTCCATATTTTAGGTGTTGTCCTGTAGTTTGAACTCTGTCCCTCAAAGGCAGAAATGAGGAAAGAACTTCTTTCCCGTCATTAGCAACCACTGAATCTGATAATGCATCTGACTCACAACTTTTATGGTGTCTCTTCAGGGCGGCGGTTTTTGAACTTGACTGTTTCTAGGCTAGGTGTCCCATTAAATGTGTTAAGTACTATGAGTCACCCAGTGTCCAGGAATAGCCCCAGAAACTTAAGTCAGAAAGTAAATCTGTGAATAGTTCTCTGCAGGTGTACACTTTAGCAGAACCAAAGGGCCAAAACTAAAAGTTTCTGTTTGCGTTCCCATCACATCTGTAGAACCATGAAAATTAGGCAAATTAGACTGACCAAAATTTAAACAGCAATGGTTTCTGGTCCTGAATCAGTGCACACCCCTGGAGCAGAAACTTTAAGGAAAGTAACTTTATACCATGGTTCCTCCAACTAAATTTAAGGTAAAGTGCCTGAGCTCTTTGGATTTCTGGAAGCTTTCTAGAAGAGTAGACCAGTGGTGTAGGACTCTGATCCCCTGACTTGTCTTCGGGCATCACCATGAGATTGACATTTTGGTTTTTAATGAAATATATCATCAACTATTGGGTGTGTTTTCATGAAATTTGGTACAGATATTTTTATAATGATGGGATTATGGGTCATACAGCTTGAGGATATTTCTAGACCTTAACAACTAGTCTCTCCTCATCCATTCTGACAGCATGACTCCTGAGGCTACAGGTCAGGCACGGGGATGTACAAGCAAGTGGGGGAAAAAATGTGTTTAAGGAGTGGCGAGGCTGGCAATAGGACAGTGTCATAAAGCCTGGCAAGATGATGCATTCTCAAGCATCTCTGAGTGTCTAGCCACCGCCAATGTGGGGTTGTACACGTCGTGTTATGGCCTTGATATCATGAACACTGTAAACATTGTGCCTGCTAAACATCAGCATGTAGGCATTGTCACTAAAAATTTTAGCTTGTGATGTTAGCATTCAGCTCAAAGCACCACTGTACTCAATACCAGCCTCATAGAGCTACATGGCTGTTGACTCTTATTTTGTTATGCATATTGAGAAAGATTTCTGATCTCTGGTCACATTTTGAAACGTTATTATTGCCCGTTTTATACCTTTATTTGACAGTGACAGTAGAGACATGATGACGATGGAAAAATAGCTGAGACATTGTGGTCCATGGTCGCGGCCTTGACCTAACACCTAGACCTCCAGGGTGTCACCTTTGACTGGTCTCACTGATTTAAATTTAGGAGCTCACAGCATCTTGCATTGTTTTGTATTGGCCTGTAAAAGCCTAAAATGCTGGCAAACTGGACTCAGAGACTGGAAAATAGGGTATGATAGTGCCTATATCACCAAGGTCATGCCTTATGGGGGACCAAACAGAACTACAGAATGTACAAAAACATGGCTTATTGTGATAAATACAGAGGTTGTCACAGCTGCTTGAGTGATCCTCAGATTCTGGAAGAATACATCACCTCCAGATTTTGAAAAATAGAAGGAATCTTTGTGAGAAATTGTGCCATAAGAACACATGCTAGCTATTTTTTCAGATGCAAAAGTTTATCATGAAATATTTCTTTTCTGATGTCGCTTGTAAGCAGTTGGTTTCGGTGTCATTTGGAATAGGAATGAATTTTCAGTTTCCATCTCCTTGATTGTGTTGCCGAAACCTATCTTACACTCCACCCACCCAACACCAAGTGTGTTCAAAGATCAGACAGCTTTGTTCTATGATGAGTTGAGGACTGACTGTCTACAGTAAACAGACAAAAATCAAACAGAGCCCCCAGATCCTTAAAATGTCCTCCCAGCTCACTGTTGAAACTCATTATTGGTGGTCTATCAGCTGAGTGACGTAAATTTTGACCTTAAAGGGAAATGTTGGGAGTTCCCCAAGATAGTGTTTAATGATTGAATTCTGCTCCTGGATAAAACAGTGATTTGGGGTGTGGCAGCTGTCTGAATATTTGTCTGGCCCTCAGTACCATCTCACACAAACAAACAGATCTTCAGCAATGTGCTTGATACAGTTTACCTCAATGAGATTACTCATTATTGCTCAAGCTCAAAGGTCAGAGTTGCCTGCTGGAAAAGAATTATCTTAAGGTCATGGTACATTGTAAGACAAAGTAGCCATCATGTCTTACCTGATACAGAGTTAGAGATTTACCATGTGACGACTGAAATCAGTCACAAAGTATAATCAGTTGAGGCCAGCGAAATACCAATCAGGGAACTATGAGTGCTTAGATGATGGCATAACCTCATGAAACCTCTGGATTGCATAAACACGGTTTTAAGTCTCAAATTCATTTTGAAACCAGATTTTTCTAATGTCATGGCTCCATGGATGGCAACGTCAGTGTTTCTATTGGTCAGTCGATCAATCCATTTCAGTTCAGAGTGAAATATGTCAAAAAACATTCAATGGATTGCCATGAGCCAGACATGCTTGGTTCCCAGAGGATCGATCATAATGATTTTGGTGATCACCTCACTTTTCATTGAGCACCACTGTGAACAAACTGTAGCTTCACCTACTTTCTAACATTAAGGTTTGTCATGAAGTAATTGACTAGATGTTAGCTAGCATCCCTGTACCCTGTGTTGTTGGAGGAATGCAAATGGAAGAGGAAGTATCTTTCAGCAATGCAATAGCAGCCTTGTCTGATCAGGGCCAGCCTCAACAAAAGAGGCAGTGCAGTGTGCAGTCTGGTGAGCCCAGTCTCACTCCAAAGCCATCGAAATTCAGCGCTTGGGCAGTGACTTGCGACGCCAGTAACCAAAGAAAAAGTTATCCTTTAACGCTGGCATGATACGCGGCTGGTTCTTGTTTTAAAAAGACAATGTGTATAACAGGAAGAACTTGACACATCATCCCAGAAGGTCAGCAACCAACGCACCCAGGGTACCTTTCACGCCGTGTGCCCTCACGCCCTTAATCTTTAATACCACTTACAATATGCTACCTACCCATGTAGCTGCAGGGGAATTTGCACAACACTGGTGATAAGCAAGCTGAAGATGTAGGGTTTAAATTATGAAGTACAGAAGGTGGAAAGGAAGAAAAAAAAGTTAGGATGGATCATTACTTTATTACAGGACTAAAACTTTGTTATCAACAATGTATATTATATTGTCTCTCTCTTTCTCCCTCTTTCCAGGAAGTATTGCAGCCATTGTATGTGTGTTCATCATCATCGTCACCTTAGTGTTAGTTGGGCTGTACCACTACAAGATCCGGTGAGTCCAGAGCTCAAACAAATCTCTTACGAAGTGCATTAACATGTTACTGTTCATTCAGTTTGTGGGAAGTGTCACTTCGTGTAGATTTAATTCATACTGAGCGAACTGCAAATTATTATTATTATTCTTATCATTTCAATGTTCTGAGCCTCACAGAGTACAGTCAGTGAGTTTTGGCTCAATCCTTTAAAGGCAGAAACATATTTTGCAGATAGGTTTAAGACATCTGTCTCTGAGATTTCTGCCACTATAATAAAGATGAACGGAATTTGTTTGGGGTTTTTTAAGAAATCGAACACACTGTGAACAGAATTCACATGGACTATTCTTGCAGTAGAAGAAGAAGCCTGTTCACAACCAAATTTTATTAGAATAATGAGCCAAAAGAGTGGTTTTATGTGTCTTTATTTCCCATTATCCTATGTAAATAAGACTACTGTTATTTGATCTCTGTAAATACAGTTAATGTCATATTTATTTCCCTTTTCTCCCCTCTATTTTCCTCACTTCCTCTACATTCCAGACGTACATCCTACGGCCCTCTTCTGGAAAACAATGAACGCAGCACGTTGGGAAACTTCAGCAACCCCATGTATGACCCTTGAATCTTACCTTTTGACCTCCGACTCCAGAAGTGACCCCCTAAACCGAAAGTCCTCAGTTTGCATAAGTAGACATTCTGATCAGTGTGTTTGTACTGTGACAAAAGTCACACATTTCATAACTGTGACATGCAGCCTGATCTCTTGATTGCAAAATGCAAAACAAATGTGATGTTTCTATTGATCTTTGTTCAGGTAGCCTTGTTTTTTATTGCAATAGGTACAGTTAACTTGGCAATAAGTTGCAGTTTTTGCTCAGGTAGCTTTGCAAACAGCTCTGGCTGCATAGACACAGTTCTTAATCATCTGAACTGATTATTTGAACTCAATCAGAATGTTTTTCACAGTAAATAGGGATACAAAATTCTACTCTACGAATTTGTAAAAAGAATGTCAATAAATGAGGAAGATATGACAGTGACAATTTTCCGCTGTCCGGAAGTAGCAGTGGAAACTGTGTGACATACGAAGTTACGAAAGGCCTGAATTTAAGCATGAAGTTAAAACAATATAAATGAACATCATGGCACAAAATATTTTTATTTATCATGGACTCTTCCTTTAAGTACCCGCTGAGATACTTTTTCCTTAGTTAAACTGGGAAATGATGAAATATCTGTCACAAAAGTCGATAAATGTTCAGATTTTCATGTAGCTGGATAGACTAAGTTCAAAGCTTAGACAGCACTGATCTACAAGTGACCTGCTTTTACATGTATGTTTAGATTCTGTAGATAAGGAGGAGGTGTACCATTTGGAGGAAATGGAAATTCTGAGAAAGCACTGAAAAGGACTGTGATGACACATAACTTTTAGCAAGTGGTTTGACAGCGAGTGGAGGTATGGAAATAACCTTTGAAAGACAAACAAGAATAAAAAAAAGGAAAAAATGCATCAAAGCATCTTAAATGATCCTGAATCTTTTCTATTACTTTTATCAGAACCAATAATTAGGACCATTTCAACTCCGAGCAGAAAAGTAGGTGCTAATACTTTCAAGACTTTTGAGGATTTGTCCTGAAAGCTGTGTAGTACAGACATGTTTAGGCAACACAGAGGGGCAACGTCAGCGTTAGTAGCAGAAACTACGATCTAGAAAGGAGACTATAACTTGAGGAAAGTGGTTGTGGTTTCATTCATTCATTTTCAAATGGAGTGATTCTCCATCCAAGGATTTACATCACATGCAGTCCTTTCAAATGAATACTTCAACTTTCAAATGACCATTTGTATATCAAATGCTCATCCGGCGTTACGTTGAATTTGTGAGGGAAAACTTTGCTTTACCTCCACGGTTAACGAAGAATCCAAAAAATGGAGAAAATTGTTGATGAATTGAAGTCACGGGCAAAACAGACAAAACTTTCACACAACTCGTGCAGTATAATCCAAGTCCCATTTATCCAGTCGTTTGCTCAGAACTTCCCAAACAGACAGCCCTTTCTGACGAGGACGGAAGTGAAGTTGAATATTCTCTCTGCTCATTTCAGAGCCAAACTCCATTGATAAAAACTGTTATTTTACCTCACTGAACTCAGGAGCTGTTGGTCTACTACTGCTGTGATTAGTTAATAAATTTGTGCTTTTGTGAGACTTTGGAGTTTTAAATGGGTATTTTGGATTCACCAGAGTCACACAATTACACAAACAAACGACCAATCCAGGCAGTAGCAGAGCAGCACCTCCTGTGTTCAGTGAGGTAAAATTACTGTTTTTGTTAATGGAGCCTGGCTTTGAAAAAAGCATAAATACATTTCAATTTTAGTTCAATTCCCTGTCAGAAAGGATTGTTTCTTTGGGAGGTACTGAACATGTGACTGGATAAATGAGACATGGCTTATGCACGAGTTGTGTAAGAGTTTGTAAACAGATGTTTTGATGTAGTTTTGCTGCTGTGAAACATGGTCGCCTATGACTTTGATTCATCAGGATTTTTTTCCAGTTTTGGATTCTTCGTTCACCAGAGGCACGCAAGGAACACAACATTTTGTCCACAAATTCTGTCATTTGGAGGAGAGTATTCCTTTAAAATGAATATGAATGGTTTTCGAATCATATCACAAACCCAATGGTGCAGAGGCAGAGAGAGACTGGCCTTTAAAAGGACAATCCCTGGGTTAAGCCCCTTGCATTCATCCTGCTGAAGTGTCCTTGAGCACAACACTGAATCCCCTCCTTCTTCATGTGCCAGTCTGCTGAGCCTGTCTCTGTGGAGAACCTAAAACACACCAATCATTTTAAAATGGAGAACAGGAGTTCTTAGAAAAACAGAAAATGTTATTTACATTAAATGTGGCCTTAATAAAACAGAGCAGGGAATTGCGTCCCTCTCGTACCTGATCAACTTCAACCACTATTTATGAGTGAGTATTTTTATTATTGAATGTTATTAGTGTGAAGTTTTTTCATGTTTATGTGTGATTTTGCTTTGCTCAGCAGCTCACCCAGGCTGCATTTCTGATTGTAATTTTATCTCTTTCAGTATTTGATACAGTATTATTTGTTTGCGTTCAGATGAAGAATAATGTGACAATATTTTATTGTGTGATTTGATTGTGTTAAATTGTTTGTGTAATAAAAGTGTTAAAGGAATACTGAGTCCCTGTGATGGTCGTGTAAAGGAAACAAGCAGTGCTGAAAATATTAATCTCTAAGTTGATTTATCAAATTACAAATTCTGGAGTTACAAAACCAAAGTAACAATGACGTCAGAGGACAGAAAAGCTTCGGATCTTCAGAGCCTCTGTTGCAATCTCAACACAAAAACATGATAGCTGTTTCAAAAACACACGAAACAACTGAAATGATATGACAACACACAGATGCGAAGGTTCAGCACAATGTCTTGGTCTCTGATCCTCAATGGGCTGCAGAGCATTTATTAGTGGAAGCTTTAATAGTGGTCCTGTCATCACTGCCCTCCCATCGTAACTGCTTCCATTCTTCTTCTTTCTGAAGCCCTTTCCCATGAAATCCTCCCCTCCTGCCCACGCTCGGCTTCTCTCTCCCTACTTCACCCCATGCCAGCTTCCTTGCGTTGTTTTTCTAACCTCCCATATTCAGTCCTTCTTTCCTCATCTCCATCAAGATTCTAAAATTGTCTTTGGAATTGGTTGATACATTGCGAGGAGCTAAACAATTTATTGTTATTTTTTTGCAACAACCTTCATGGTTCCATATCGCTAAGATAGTGTAGTGTAACCAGCATTGCCTGGTTGACATCAGCAGTGTGCGGGAAAAACCTGACTGTCACCAGATATGTTCATCTCTTTCCTAATCTGCCTTTAAGGTTAACACTCTCGCTAAAGTCTCAGGTTAACCTCCTGCTGTTTTCTCAAGATCCAAATAAAAGTCTTATAATTCACATCTTAAACTCATGTTCACATCCTTTACTTTAGATAAAAGTACAGACAGCATAATGTAAAAATGCTTCATTTCAAGAAGTCTTGCATTCAGAACTTTACTTACACAGAAGCATTGAAAACAATTGTGTAAAATATTTAAATGTCATCAGAGGGAGGTAAACTGCCTGAAATCTAGGGTGTAGGATTTAGAGGCATCTAGCAGTGAGGTTACAGATTGCAACCAACTGAACCTTCTCCCATGTTCCAAACATGTAGGAGACTACGGCTGACAAGAAAATGCAGAAACAGGAATGGCCTTATCGAGAGCCAGTGTTTGGTTTGTCCATTCTGGGCCATTGTAGAACAACATGGTGGACTCAGCGGCACACACTCCATGTGTAGATGAGCTCATGCTAAGGTAACAAACACAATTCTTATTTTAAGGTGATTAAGGTGAGGTGCAACAGGCATTAAGCCACAGGGTCGTCAGCTGGGAGCCAGCCTTCACAGATGTTTCACCCCTTGAATCCCAGAACATCTCAAGGTGGTGGGGCAGCAGCAGGGAAATCTCCCTAGAGCTCCCTCCGGCTCACCCTAGGATCCTTGGTTCCCCAACTTTTGGTCTTTTCCTCTGAACCACAGCCAGAAGCTCTTTATATGAATTATGAAATATTGAGTCAAGTCAATTTTACTTACATAGCACATTTCATATGAAAAGCATGAACTCAATGTGCTTAACATACATCATACATGACAAACAAGAAATATCATATAAGATGATAAAGTGTTACATATATAAAGCAGGACATGATAACATCAAACAAAATAAGAAGGTATTATTATCATTAAAACCTAACTTAAAACTTGTGAAAACAAAGATATGTGTTTAGTTTGCTTTTAAAAGAGAACACTGTTGTAGCAGCCCATAGTTCATGTGGAAGAGAATTCCAGAGATTAGAACCATAATGACTAAAAGCACCATGAGCTGATTGAGAGTTGAGGACATATTTATGAATATTATGTACCATGTCTGTCAATAGATGACCCTAAATCTTACACACTGGACAAAAATGACTTGGTACAATGAGAATTTAACGCAAGGCTGTATCACGTCGGGCGGCACGGTGGTGTGGTGGTTAGCACTCTCGTGGGAGCCCTTCTGTGTGGAGTTTGCATGTTCTCCCTGTGTCAGTGTGGGTTCTCTCCGGGCACTCCGGCTTCCTCCCACAGTCATGCAGACATGCAGATTGGGGACTAGGTTAATTGATAACTCTAAATTGTCCGTAGGTGTGAATGTGAGCATGAATGGTTGTCTGTCTCTATGTGTCAGCCCTGTGATAGTCTGGTGACCTGTCCAGGGTGTACCCTGCCTCTCGCCCGATGTCAGCTGGGATAGGCTCCAGCCCCCCTGTGACCCTCAAGAGGATGAAGCGGTTAGAAGATGAATGAATGAATGTATCACGTCTGCTGAACAGTGACCCCTGTGGCCACAAGTAGCAATTACAGGATATGACACTGAACTTTTTCATTTCCCAAGAAAACTTGAGGCACTTTCTTCTTTTGCTTTAACAATAATTGAAACATTTATTTCTTGCATGTTATAAACATAAGTTAATACTAACACAAGCAGATAAGAGTCAAAAACCTCAACAAGCAGGGAATCCCCTCAGTGTACTGAAACGAGTAAGGGTGCATTTTACTGCTTCTGAATTCAGCTTGATACGTGCAGTTTGTGCAAGTTCAAGTATCTCAAAAATGTGCAAAGCCATAGTAGCGTAAATGTACGTAGTTACTTTCCACCACTGGTACATCGCCTCTCTATTTGTCGTCATACTGGGCAGCAGCAGTAATAATAGAGAGAGCAGCTCTCTGTGATGCACTGTTATTATCAGGCCTTAAATACCCTGAAGAGTGTGTCTGCGCGTGTGTGTGTGTTTCTTTATAATTACACTGAGGAAAGGGCGGGACCATGTTTTACATTACAAGCATCTGGACGGCAGAATTGGGCAGAAAATGATACATCACACAAGGACTTACTTTCACATTTACTATCTGAATATAAATATGTAACAAATACAGTCCCTAGAATAAGCTACTGTCTGTCACTGTCACTTTTATTGACAGATATGACTGTACAGTGCAGTAACTGAAAATATATAAAGAGTCAAATTCAGTCCAACTGTACTTTCTCTGTGTTGTATTTTCCTCCTGACTGGATAACAGGTGAAATAGCACAGAAAAAAATGATAAGAGAAGTCTGACAGGCTGGTGGTGATTCTCAGAGAAAAATACTAGACAGTAAGTGTGAAGTATGGTGAATAATCAGGTGGTTTTTCTTCAGCTCATCCGCTGCCCTCATTATACAGAGATGGTGTCAGACTTTGAGAAACAGGAAGAGGCCTTTTCCTCTCTCAGTCTTCACTTGCTCAGAGCTGCTGGAAACCGCAGTCTTACATCATGCAGAATAACCACAACAGCAGAGAGGTGGCTTACATGCTGCAGACATTTAACATATTTTACTAAGACACTTACTCCTTAAATGAGTTGCTTTTACAAGACTGAGAATAAATCATTTAAACGGACAAACTGATATATTAAATAATAATCACATGATCTCAATGTGCTGCTGTGGTCAGACATACAGCCTGCCCCAGTTCTCTGTGTGTGTGACACCTGCTTCACAGTAGCAGACAAAAGCAGAGCTGTGTTTTAAAATATATAT